CATTGAACCTGAACTGGAACCAATCCCAAAAAAACAAAAATCTGTAACCAGTTCAAAATCATAGGTTCAATAATCAGGCACTGACTGAAGGGTCTTTTGGGTTTGCTGAGGAAGGGTCTTTCTCTGCTTCACCCCTAGAGAGAGAGAGAGAGAGAGAGACTAAGAGACTAAACTTCCCAAGAAGCCATTGAAGGAGGTGAGGTAGAGAGAGGTTCTGGGATTGGCAGTTATCCTGTCATGCCCAGTTGAGGACTGGCCATAGAAGGGAACTATAACTCCCAGAACACCTCTCTTCCACCACTGAGGGTGCTTGGTTCCTGCTCTGCAAGTCAATGTAGAAAGGGCATTTTCTAGGCTGAAATTCATTTTGTCACTTCAGCAGTCAAAATATGACTGACAGAGTTCTGAAGGATGTTTTACTAATGCATGGAAATAACTTGTTTTAAAATAATTTTTCTATAAAGAAATATTTATCGTATTCTTTTGCTAGAAGTTACAAAGCAAGCATAAGAGCGTGTGACATTAATCTGCAGGAAATGTACCTGAACTGGTTCAAACAGGTTCAATGTGAATGAAATGGTTATCGAACCATCATTCTAAGTTAGTGTCTGAAGCGGAACAGAACCAAACAGTTAAAACATGTTGATGAACCTGAAACACAACTAACCCACAATTGTTAATAGTTCGACTCCCTTATTTTTCACATAATTAGCTTAACTTGCACATTTCTGTTTCCCCTGGACTGCATCAATAATGTGGATTTTAATGAAATACTCCTCTTTCCTCTGTGCTGAGCTGTTTTAAATACATTAAATTAAAAATGAATTTCTGTTTACATTAGCATTATTTTAGCCAAAAGATAAAGACCACTTATATACCAGTTACAGCACATTGGGATGCCTGCATTCCATCAATACACCAAATGGTTGTTTGCTTTAAGTTGCAGTGACTTATAGTAATGGAATATACTGAAAGGATACAAAATAACCTATCCATTATTCAAAATTCCTGTCATCTTAACATTATCTGTTGCACCAAACAGTGCTAATGACAAACAGATGGAGTCATCCATCTCTTTTTAGGGGACACAAGGAATACAACATTCAGTCTTATATCAGCAATTTTACGTTGGCATGAGACCTTGAGGAAGTTTGGGAAGAAAGAAGGTATTTTATAGCTAGTGCCACAGCATAGTACTTACAATTAAGCAATGAGAATATATTTCAGAAGAGATACTTTTAAAAATACATATATATGGAGATCAACACATTTTTCCAAAATCAAAACAGTCAAATATGTCATACAGTCTGTTTCTATTTACTTTGTTGCCCTGGATTTATAACTTGGGCTGTATTCATACACTATTTATATCAGAACTACAAAACTCTGCCTTAACTAAACTAACTATTGTTTAGAAACAAGTAATTTTGGACAATTGGGGAGGTCATGCCGACCGCCCAGCGGCATTTTCCAGCAGAGACAGATCAGACATGTACAGTGCTCGACATTAAAAGTCAGTGTTTCACATCAGTTAGAACATAGTGGTATTTAAGACTACAACAATTTCCCTCTATACTTAGATAGGTGATATCTGTAATAAAATGTGTGGGTAAATGTGGATTTTTAATGCCTTCTGCTGTAGCATGCAATCGGTTTAAACAACTGTATATGATTAGGTCTATCATCCTGATTAAATTCAATGTGTTACCATCTTACATACAAAAGGAATACACTTTTTGCACGTATGGTAATTTGCCAGTTTTGCATTACAAAACAAAGATAGTTGTCCTATCTCTCTCCCGTATTCTGTGCATCTTTCATTCCCTGTTCACATTCTTGTTCCACTTGATTTAATCTAACCTGCTTCTGCTTAATTCACCGAGGAATTTGATTGGTTGGTTGTGAAGAAATTCCTAAACAGAAGAAACTCTGCCTACAAAATACTTATTAGGAGATGGATCTATGTATACAGCTCTGGCCCCGATAATACTCTGTCTGGGATTGCTCTGAAAGAGGCGTGAGCTGAACAGGCTGAAACTGCTTCTATTAGACTGGTCACAGTCTTTTTAGTTTGTGCCTATATAATCTCACTTATCACTGGTCAGTGTGAAGCTTTCTCTAGTGAGCATGGGCACCTAAATGTCAATTTCTGTAGAACTTATGCTTTCATTTAAGAACAAAAAATTAAGTTTCTAGTATCTAGTTTCTAGTCAATTAAGATAGTCTTCTCAAAGGAGAACTCGTAAATGAATGCAGTTCAGTCTTCTTGAGTCTGCAGACAGATACAGGTCTCCTCTGAGGCTCATATCTTTGCCAAGCAAAAGCAGAGAGAAATTAGAAAATGACTGGTTTATTTCACAGCTGTTATTCAGAACCATGAGGCCACTGACTGGTCTCTGCTTGCTCCACATGAGGCACGTTGCGGCCACAGATTCCGCAAGTACTGATTGGGAACTCTGAGCTATATTTTGCTGATTTGAGGGTAGATTAGAGTTTCAATAGAATCCAGATTGACAGGCTTAATTCTCTTCTATTCAAATTCTTATATGGCACCCAACATGTCTAAATATCCAATACAAACTGATGGCAGTTAAAGATTTGTAGCTGGTAATTATAAAGGTATCAACTGTAACATGACCAGTTGTGTCTGTCCAAATTTCTCCATCAAGTCTAGTACAACTGAAAACAAAGAAGAGTTTCACTGAAGTGAAATTACAAAAATAGGGATATGAACTTGTTTGCTATTTCTGTACTGAATCCCGATGTGTATTGATTGCATGTTGAGTTCTCTAAATGCAAAGGAACAGCAGGATTCAGTTTGCTATTGAAAACTTTTAAAATAATACCTGAAGATTTGAACAGAGCATTCCTTTAGGCCCTGACTCTACAGTCCCCAAGGCAAAACTCTCATTGACTCAGTGGGGGATTTACTTTTTTTTCAGCCCCCAACATGGTTTCACAAACAAGCTGTGCAATAGTTGGCTATCACGGTGTCTGATATGCTTGTAGAATCATATGAGGGGTGTGACGGAGGAACAGGGCAGAAGGATACATACATATAGTTTCACAGGGACCCCCTGGGTCAGACATATGCACTATGAGCCACTAAAGGAGGGTGTGAGGTCTCTACCAACAGCCAGTAGCCCACTGGTCATCATAATCGTTGAGAAATGTCTGTACAGATAATTATTATGAAGTTATGTGCCCATACTGAAAATTATGTTAAGGCAGTATCCAGAAGGTGGCATGTCTCGGAAGGTTCCTTTCAGGCAGGGAGTCACAGACACTTATCGCTCCGTCTGGTCATTGTGTGTCCCAGCATATGCCTATTTGCAGCCTGAATCATATGCTGATAAAGTGTTTGTGAAATCTACAAGGAAGATGTATACAGTAAATAACCACTTTATGAATAAGGACAATGGATTGTTCTAATATATCTGGAGAGCGAACAGGCACCTGGGACCTTTCACTGAGAAGACAGCTGACAGAGTCACTTGTCTTATGAATGGAGGGTCACTGCCAAACTTGGCTGTAAAAAGGTAGAAAGACTTCAGGTGAGCACTGCTCTGTAAGACAGCTAAGTAGCTAAGTAAGTCTAGTTCTATAACGTGTGTTATGATTTTATTCCATATGTAACAATTTGTTTCCAATTTGTCTACTTGCTGTCACTTGAATCTCTATACTTTAAATAAAAACTTTTACTTGTTTTCACTAGTGAGATGCCTCACAACCCAGGGTACACCTGGGAAGTGTGACAAGGGAGTCTAAAAAGGGAAATGAATCTCTCAGCATAAAACATCCAATCCAAAGAAACTACTGATGCTTATTTTCACCCACTTTCCCTTACTGCTGTAACTGAAATCTTACTATTGTAGCCTGCGTAGATATTCTTCACTGCCTAGCAGGTGCTAATGATGTTTTGCTGAGAAAATAAGCAAAAGGAGGGGAAAACACTCTTGTAATAGAACATGGGACCTACACGGTACTCTGCAGCTGTGTTTAGTTTATTTGTTTAGAGAGCTAGGAAACAAAATAAAAATCAACATTTAGAGTGTTGTGTTAACAGCTCACAAAACAAGAAACAACATTGAACAGAATCAAAATATAGCAAACCAAGCTTCAAAAATTATTTTAGAGAAAAAAGCACCAAGGATCCAATCTTGTTTCCACTGCAACTAACACAAGTTTTTACTTAACGGTGAACATTAGGAATTTGCACCCCCTCCCCCACAAAAATTCCCCAATATAGTAGGAGGTCTTCACTGCAAAAAAGAGGCTCAAGATCTGCAATGAAAAAAATGTAGGCATAAAGTTGTGTCTGAACCTTTTTGCACACCTCAGTGTGTGTAGACAGAATCCCAATGTTATGGTTTAAATCACCCACCCAGAGCACAGTGGAATCACTGGAAAGGATTCTATTGACTTCAGTGGACATAGCAGTAGTCTATACATTGGAAAAGACTAGCTTGAAACGTATTCATTTCTCTCAATCCAGGGGATACTCTAGAACACAGTCCCTGTTCAGCCTGCGAAAGAAAAGTGGGGGTAGCCATGCGAGAGTGGGGATTTTCAAAATGATCCTCAACATTTACCATCCAGGCACAACAACATCTGTTCCCCCACTGTTTGCTGTGATGATTGATGATAATGAAAAAACTCCCTGGGCTGCATTCTCTGTTCTGCTATGTCAGTGCCAAGTGGATGAAAACTTAACAAAAATGGCCACGAGAACATTCCTCTTGCAGAGAGGAAAGCTTCACTGACATAAAGCCGGCATAGAGCGTGTTGAAAGAGAGAGGCAGCGTGACAGGAATGGCCAAGGGCCCTACATCTCACTTGCTCATCAGATTGTGGTATGCAAACAACATTTACTCTTTGGGTTTAATGCTCATACTTTGTATATTTGCATTTAACATTCTAGTCAGCACACCCATCTCTCCTATCTCTATTTTCCAATTTCTTGCAGCAGAAAATTTAGATGGTTGAGTTTGGTCACTCACCCACAATGTGTAGGATCCCCTGCGACTGCCTGGAAAAGTCAGCATGCTCTGATCTGAAACAGCAACAGATGCCAGACCGCTGCTTCTGGACTGTGGCCAATCAAAATCAGCCTCCGCCTGCTCAGCTTTACCTTTTTGCTTTCTTATAATCTGTAGGGTTGAAATTAAAAAAAAAAAGTTACTGGAAAGTCCTGCCCAGAGCCATATGGCTCAAAATGCATTGGCTGTGTCAAGATGAACAGCATGGAATAGAGTTCCTTTAGCTTCGGCCCCAGCTAATTCAAGTTTGATTTTCACAACCTGCACTTATTTCTTATCTGAAGTCAGAGGTTTGCAAGATAATAAAGTCATTATCGAATATCTGTAGGAACACCAGAACTGAATTAAAACAATATGGAAATCTATACCCCACCAATGGTACTGACAGTGTGATCTATATCTGGTAGCCAAGTATACATTTTCTAAGAATAAGAATGCATAAGTAGATGAATATTGGTGTGGAATCATAGAATAAAGGAGATGGGCTAGATTTCAAAAGCACACCTAACTCCTATGGACTTTTAAAGGGAGTTAGGTGCTTAAGCACCATTTTCTTAGATTCATAGATTCTCAGGCTGGAAGGGACGACTGTGATCATTTAGTCCGAGTTCCTGCATTACACAGGCCATTGAACTTCCCTGAATTTATTCCTGTTTGAACAAGAGCATATGTTTTAGAACAACATCCCATCTCGATATAAAAATTGCCACTGATGAAAAACCACTTCAACCCCTGGTAAATTACCTTCACTGTTAAAAATGTACACCTTATTTCCGGTCTGAATTTGTATAGTTTCATCTTCCGGCAATAGGATTATGTTATACCTTTGTCTGCTAGACTGAAGAGCACATTTCCTAATATTTGTTCCCCATGGATGTACTTAAAGACTATAATCAAGTCATCCCTTAACCTTCTCTTCATTAAGCGAAACTGATTGATCTCCTTGAGTCTAAGGGTATGTCTACACTGGCAGAGTTACATCACTGGCAGCTACATCGCCACTCAGAGAGCACTGAAGGGAAACCACTGTTGTGTGTTCACACTGTTAGCTGCCTGTGCAATAGTGTGTTCACACTTGCAGCGGTATTTGGAGCGGCGCACTCTGGGCAGCTATCCCACAGAGCATCTCTTCCTCTTCTGTCACTAAGAGTTGTGGGAAGGCGGAGGGGGTCACGGGGCATCCTGGGTCCTGTCCCAATATCCTGTGATGCATTGCTTCACATCCCAGCAATCCCTGTGCTTCCGTCTGCATTCGGCGCCATCTTTCAACAGTTTGTGTACTGTGAGCTCTGCCTCTTCAAGCTGCAGGAATGGATCCCGCACTGTTGACCAGTATGCTGCTCGCTGTCACTAACACGTCACGCGTGGCAGTGGAGTTATTCCTTAAACTACAAAGGCAAGAGGAGTGCGACATTGATCTTGCCACATGTAGTAGCTATGACACGAGATTGCTTGTAGCTTTCACAGAGGTGCTGACCACAGTGGAACGCTGCTTTTGGGCTCAGGAAACAAGCACTGAGTGGTGGGATCACATCGTCATGCATGTCTGGGATGATGAGCAGTGGCTGCAAAACTTTCAGATGAGGAAAGCCACGTTCATTGGACTGCGTGATGAGCTTGCCCCAGCCCCGCGGCGCAAGGACACGAGAAGGAGAACTGCCGTGTTGTGGGAGAAGCGTGTGGCAATTGCAATGTGGAAGCTGGCTACTCCAGACTGCTACCAATCGGTTGCTAACCAGTTCAGAGTGGGAAAGTCGACCGTTGGAAGTGTGCAGGGCCATTAATCACATCCTGCCCGAAAAGACCGTGACTCTGGGCAACGTGTGAGACATTCTGGATGGCTTTGCACAAATGGGCTTCCCGAACTGCGGAGGGGTGATAGATGGCACGCATATTCCAATTCTGGCACCAGACCACCTAGCCACCGAATACATTAATCGGAAGGGGTATTTCTCTATGGTTCTCCAGGCGCTTGTGGATCACTGTGGGCATTTCACGGACATTAATGCAGGCTGGTGCAGAAAGGTGCATGACGAACACATCTTTCGGAACACTGGCCTGTTCAGGAAGCTGCAAGCAGGGACTTTCTTCCTGGACGAGAAGATCACCATAGGGGAAGTCGAAATGCCCACTGTGATCCTGGGAGACCCTGCCTACTCCTTAAAGCCGTGGCTTATGAAGCCATACACAGGGAACCTTGACAGCAGCAAGGAGTGATTCAACAGGCTGAACAAGTACAGAATGACTGCTGAGTGTGCTTTTAGCTCTTTAAAGGCCCACTGGTGCTGCCTATATGGGAGTCTGGACCTGGCTGATGACCATATTCCCATGCTTATAGCCGTGTGCCGTACAATCCATAATATTTGTGAAGGGTAGGGTGAAAGCTTCACTCAGGGCTGGACCTCTGAGGCTCAGTACCTGGAGGCTGATTTGAACAGCCAGAGACCAGGGCTATTGGAGGGGCACAGCGCCGGGACATAAGGATCAGGGATGCCTTGAGGCAGCAATTTGAAGCTGAAAGCCAGGAATATTTGTTGCTCTGCTCGGGAGTACAGTGCTTGTAATGCTAGGAGGTGATTGTGACTGGCACAGAGGATGCACTATGAAGGTGTAAGAAAATTGCCTGTTGCTTTGCAGGGCTCTCTTTGCTTTCCATTAATGCAATAAAGATTGCTTTCAAACCCAAACAATTCTTTTATTAAAAAACAACAACAGGAGGACAGAGACAAACAAAAAAAACACATCAGCACTGTGAGGGGTTGGGAAAGGGAGGGTCCCAGGAGAAGGTGGGGTCCTGGGGCGGTTAAAGATTTGTGTATGCCAGATATCATATGCAACCTTGTCTTTTGGAGTACAGTGCAGTGTATACTATATTTCAGCAGGGCTAAACTGCAGAGGGACGGGTGTTGAGTGCAGTAGGTACTGGGAGTCCGCAGGGCTGGACTGTGATGGGGGAGGAGTGGAATGCAGCGGGTACAGACTGGAGCCAGGAGGTTGATAAGAGTGTATTGGCGGTGTCTGGGGGGCCCATGGGAAAGAGTTTTGCAACAGCTGCTGCAGGGGAGGGTGGGTGCGGAGCTGCTTGGTTTGCAGTGCTAGTAGTGCCTGGAGTGTGTCCGCTTGGGGCTCCATAACCTTTAAGGGCCGCTCCATGGCTTCATTCTGGCGCGCCGCATTCTCCTTTCGGTCCCTCTTCTCGCTGTCCCGCCACTCCTTTGATTCTTGTTTTTCAGCCGCGGCGTGCATCATGACATCACGCAGAAAGTCTCTTTAGTTTTTCATGGCTGCTTTCTAATTCTGCGCAGCCATTCAGCCAGCGATAACAAAGAGGGAGGCTGGGCTCCCAAGGTCATATCTATAAAGCCAAAATGCAACGTTTTACAGAAGAAGTATGTTTGCAACACACGAACAACACTGATTCAGTGATTTAAAACGCAGCCAGTATTCACATACCTGTCACTAACTGGCTGACACCAGACAAGCACACATGAGCCACAAGACCCCCAAAATGGCGAGTAACCGCAGGGGCAATCAGTGTTCCAGGACCGTACTGTATACTGGGCACATGGCTCTTGGGGAGAGCCAGCACTGTACGGGGGCCTTATAATAATTACTGTCCCCACATTTTCCACAGGCTGTGTTCATTATGGAAGATATCTCGCTGCTGAGGGTGAGCAGGGAATCAAGGGAGGGTCTTCTCCAAGACTGCGGCTTCCACCCTGGCCCTTATGCAGCTTGCCTGTGTGCAGCAATGGACCGTCCACCCCTGTGACGGCAGAGTGGCGTGGGAAAGTTACCCTTAATGGGGCAAGAAACAAAGCAGCTCTGCCAAAGAACCTGCAGCAGCGGATTGCCCAGTATCTCCATGAGAGTTTCGTGGAGATCTCTGAGGCAGATTCCTGTGAAGTGAGTGAGCCAATCAACACCCTGTTCCGCCGCTCAGACTAGGCAGGTGGTGGTACGTGCATCACACAGACACAAACCTGCTTTCTGCAACGCTCCTGCCCCTAGCAACTCACCGGGGTGGCGAGTTATATGGGTCCATGGTGCCCGGGCTCCAGCAAATTCCGGTCCCGGGGGCCCCGACTCCACCAATGTTCAGGGCCCAGTCTCTCCCCCGGTCCCACCTGCCACTCCCACGTGCCTACCCCGGCCCCACCTGCCGCTCCCGTGTGCCTCCCCCGAGCATCCCTGGCTGCCCCCTGCAGCTCCGCACTGTGCTCCCTTGCTGACCACTCCCACTTACAAGGGAGTGGCGCCGGGGGCAGGCTGAGGCCGCTGCTGGGCCTGAGGAGGGAGAAGGCGCATGGCAGCCCGCCCCAGCCGGTGACTTTGACGGGGGGGACTTATCCTGGCCGGACCTCTTGAGCAGCAGCCGAGGGGGGCTTGGCTGAGTGTCGTGCTGTGGTGGCCAGGGAGATGGTCCCCCCACCCTCTCAGCTCGCTGCTGCCGGTGGGGAGATGGCTGGGGGAAGTCCTCCTCTCTGGCCCCACACTTGCCTACTGCACCCCAAACTCCTCATCCTTGGCCCAGCCCCATGTCCTGCATCCTCTCCCACAGCTCAACACTCTGTCTGAGCCCAGAGCCTGCACCCAACACCCAAACCCCCTCCCAGAGCCCACACCCCCTCTTGCATCCCAATCCCCTGTCCCAGCCCAGAGCCAGCACCCAAACTCCCTCCCAGAGCCTTAGGCAGGGGTGTGTGTGTGGGTGGGTGGGTGGGTGGGTGGGACTTGGACCTGTTCTGGGCACCACCAAAAATTATACAAACCTGCCATCCCTTCAGCTCGCTTCAGTGCTTCCCAAAATCAAAGCCACTTACCAGGGGCCTCCTGTCCTGTTTGTGCTTCATCAAGATCCGACAGCTGAGACTGGCTAACTTCCTCCGGGGTAGAGAAGAACTCCTGGCTGCATGCATCTCTGACCTCCAAGTCATCCTCTGCCTCTGGGTCCCCCTCCCACTCCACATCCTCATCCAAGATTTCCTCTTCCTGGCTCAGTCCACTGTTGACTGGCCCATGAGCCACCAAAATATCCACAGTGGCCTTCACAGTGGAGGTGGGTTGCCACCGAGTATCGCATCCAGCTCTTAGTAGAACCCGAAGCTCATGGGCGCAGCACTGGAATGGCCGTTTGCCTCCCACACCTTGTGGTAGGCGTTCCGCAGCTCCTTCACTTTGACCCTGCACTGCAGTGTGTCCCGGTCATGGCCCCTTTCTGTCATGCACCATGAAATCTGTCCATAGGTATCACAATTCCTACGGCTGGAGTGCAGCTGGGACTGGACAGCCTCCTCTCCCCAAATGCTGATGAGGTCCAGCAGCTCGGCATTGCTCCAAGCGGGGGATCACCTGGTGCGTGGAGCAGGCATGGCCACCTGGAACGATGCAGTGAGAACACTGCACGCATCACTGAGCAAACAGGACGGGGACTTTCAAAATTCCCAAGGAATGTACAGGGTGGGGCTGATGGTTGGTCACCCGAGGGCAGGGCAGTGGAGTTCAAACCGATGACCAGAGAGGCAAGAACAGGCATTGTGGGACACCTCCTGGAGGCCAGTCGCAGCGCTGTAATCGACCAGGGTGTCTACACTGGCACCGTGGTGCTGAAGCCCCGGCGCAGAAAGCCATACGCCTCTCGTCGGGGTGGTTTTTTTACAGCGCTGCAACTGCACAGTTTCTGCGCACTAAATGGCTTGGCAGTGTGTGCACCTCAGGAGTTACACCACAGAAAGCTGCTTCACTGCTCATAAACTTGCCAGTGTAGACAAGGCCTAACACTATAAGGCAGAGTTTCAATTTCTTTAATCATTCTTGTGGCACTTCTCTGAACCCTCTCCAACTTTTCAACATCTTTCTTGAATTGCAGACACCAGAACTGGACACAGAATTTCAGGAGTGGTCACGCCAGTGCCAAATACAGAGGTAAAATAATCTCTCTACTCCTATTTGAGATTCCCCTGTTTATTCATCCAAGGAACGCATTAGCCCTTTTGGGCACAGCGTTGGACTGGGAGCTCATGTTCAGCCGACTATCCACCATGACCCTCAAATCTTTTTCAGAGTCACTGCTTCTCGGAATACAGTCCCCCATCCTGTAAGCATGGCCTATGTTCTTTGTTCTTAAATGTATACATTTTCATTTAGCCATATGAAAATGCATAGTGTTTGCTTGCATCCAGTTTATCACACGATCCAGATTGCTCTGTATTGGTGACTTTTCCTCTACGTTATTTACACTCCCCCAATTTTTGTGTCATCTGAAAATTCTATCAGTGATGATTCTGTGGTTTCTTCCAGGTCATTAATACTAACGTCAACTAGTATGGGGCCAAGAACTGCGTGACCCCACTAGAAATACATGTACTTAATGATGATTCCCCATTTACAATTACATGTTGAGACCTATCAGTTAGCCAGTTTTTAATTGATTTAATATGTGCCATGTTAATTATATATTGTTCTAGTTCTTTAATCAAAATGTTATATGGTACCACACGAAATGCCTTAGAGAAGCCTAAGTATATTAAATCAACCCTATCACCTTTATCAACCAAACTTGCCAAAAAAAGATTTCAAGTTAGTTTGACAGGTTCTATTTTCTATAAACCCATGTTGATTGGGATTAATTCTTTTACCCTCCTTTAATCAAGTCTTGTGTCAGCTGCTCCATTATCTTGTTTGCAGTCGATATGAGGCTAACAGAACTATAATGATTATTGTCATGTTTACTATTTTAAAATATTGGCACATTAGCTTTCTTTTAGACTCCTAAAACTTCCCGAATGTGTTCTATGAGTATTGGGAATCAACATTAATACTAAACGATCTGTTCGGCCCCCTCTTTTATAACTCTTGGTAAGTTGTCTGGACCTACTGATTTAAAAATGCTCAATTTTAGTAGCTGCTGTTTAACATCTTCCTGAGCGGAATGGAATGGAAAGTGTTTCACCATCATCTGATATGACCAAATCATCTGTTTTCCCTCCCATTACAGAACAGAAATATTCATTGAACACTTTGGCCTGTTCTGCATTATTATTGACAATTCTACCATTTTCATTTAGTCATGGATCAATACCATAGCTAGGATTCCTTTTGTTCATTATATACTTTAAAAATCCCTTTTTTTTGGGCCCTTAACTCTGCTAGCCACTGATTTTCCCTTGTGTCCTTTTGCTTTCCCTATTAATTGTCTGTAATTGCTAGTTTCTGATTTATATTCATTACTGTGAACTTCGTCTTTTGTTCATTTGTTACATACATTTTTATAGCTACCTTCATTTCCCCCTAAATGTTTGAAAATGTACCTTTGAAAATCTACTCCATCTGCAGACAAAAAAAGATCGAGTAGATTATCAAATCCATCTCCCTGCCACTGTGGGATTGTTCTCTGTAATACTTGAGCTCGGTGAAATATTTTTGACACAAATTCACCGAAGAGATTCACCCGGAAGTTTTTTTTTTGAGGCTAGATTCACAAAGGCACTTAGGTGCTATTCATAAAACAGCAAGAGGAGGAGGTGGTGACCTGCTACCCAATAGCCCAGTGGTTAGGGCACTCATCTGCAATACGCAAGCCTCCATACAGTCAGAGTAGATATCTGTACCCCAGTCTACAACCTTCCAGGTGAATGCTCTAGCCACAAGGCTATAGAGGAGAACACGCTTTCCCCCTGCCCTCTTCCAATGACGCTTCCAATTTCTTTTGTTTTAATTTTAAAAAGCAGTTAAAAGTGCCTAAAATCAAAACAAAACGTTTCATTTGACCCCAAATGAAATTTCTGGTGCTTTGTTTTGCCAAGAAAATTTTTCGTTTCAGATCGCTTCAGAACAATTTTTCCCCTCGATTACTCGCACAGTTCTATGTAATGTATGGATCACTTTTCCCTGTCTGATTTGTAATGATCTTTGGGAAATTATTCTATAGTGAAACAGATCTCATCGTCAGGCAGCTTTGGACAAACTTGCCAACAGTTCCAATTTGGTTGGGATGGTCCAGGTTTGATTCTCCTGGATAGGGTTTTAAAGTCTTCTGACCAATTTCCCAGGAGCTGCTGCAGCAGGAGGCAGGATATTTTCCATTGAGCTGCTCCTCTCCTGGATATTCTTGTCATCCACACATACACTTTCAATCCTTTTCTGATATGCATCATCTTCCGTGAGTTAAATCAAACCTTGATAGATGACAGAGCTGTCTTCTAGCCATTTAAAATTCCAAATACAATTTGCAACAGCAAAGCTGCATGGCATACCTTCTGCACTATGGTAGTGGCAAGCTCTTCAATCAGCTCCTCCTTATGTTCCCGTAAATAACAAGCCTCGTTCTGTTTGTCCTGCACAAAGATACAATTTATAAATAGTACATAGTCACATTTGAGTGGTATTTTTACAAGATCAATATAAAAAGAAAAATGAGTAACATGCAGAAGGAACTGAATGTAAGTAACTCTAATTTATTGGACTATCCTGTATTTCTGAAGTGGAACATGCGTGCTATCTTGATAATAACTTTCAGAGAAACAGCACACAATTCTTTTAGCTAATGCAGTAAGATAATTCATCACTGCATTATGTTTTCTTTGATTTTCACTCACCTTTCCACTGTTACTTGAATAAAGAAAAAACTGATCTATATAAGCCAGCTGAATGTTAATTAAATATTTTTACCAGGCTTTCACCATATGTCTCTGCCTTGGAAATGGCTTCTTCTACTGCTTCTTCTGCCACACGTAAGGCCACAGCTAGGGTGTCCATCATACTATGTCCTAGTCAAAAAGCAAACAAAATACCCACATTTATGCTCAGCTGCAAAATTCAGACCAAGATTCTTCAGCTTCAGTAATTCTTAGATCTAGGATTTTGGTATAGTCTACTGCAGAGATGCAGAGCCAGACACCAATCCCAAGCTGATCAAGATGCATAGGAACATAAGAATGGCCATACTGGGTCAGACCAACGGTCCATCTAGCCCAGAATCTTGTCTTCCAACAGTGGCTGGTGCCAGATGGTTCCGAGGGAATGAACAGAACAGGGCAATTATCAAAAGCCATCCCCCATTGTCCACTTCCAGCTTCTAGCAGTCAGAAGTTCAGGGACACTCAGAGTGTGAAGTTGCATCTCTGACCATGTTGGCTAATGGCCATTAATGGACCTATCCTCCACAAACTTCCAGAGGCTGACTCTGTGTTCTGTGAAGAAGTACTTCCTTCCTTATGTTTGTTTTAAATCTGCTGCCTATTAATTTCATTGGGTGCCCCTGGTTCTTGTGTTATGAGAAGGGATAAATAACACTTTCTTATTCACTTTCGCCACACTATACACGATTTCATCGACCTCTATCACATCCCTTCTTAGTCTTCTCTTTTCTAAACTGAACAGTGCAACTCTTTTTAATCTCTCCTCATAGAGAAGCTGTTCCATACCCCTTATCATTTGTGCTGCCGTCCTCTGTACTTTTTCCAATTTTCATACACATTTTTTAGACAGGGCAACCCGAACTGCACGCAGTATTCAAGATGTAGGCTTACCATGGACTTATATAGCAGCATTAAGACATTTTATGTATTATTATCTATTTGTTTCCTAATGGTTCCTAACATTGTTTGTTTTTTTTGAGTGCTGTTGCACATTGAGTGGATGTTTTCAGAGAGCTATCCACAGTGATTCCAAAATCTCTTTCTTGAGTGGTAAGAGCTAATTTAAACCCCATCATTTTATATGTATAGTTGGTATTATATTTTCCAATGTGCCTTACTTCGCATTTAACAACATTGAATTTCATCTGCCATTTTGTTGCCCAGTCACCCAGTTTTGTGAAATCATTTTGTAACTCTTTAGTCTGCTTTGGACTGAACTATCTTGAGTAATTGTACGTTGTCTGGAAACTTTGCCAACTCACTGTTTACTCCTTTTTCCAGATCGTTTATGAATATGTTGACCTGCACTGGTCCTAGTACAGATCTTCGGGGGTCCTGTTATTTACCTCTCTTCACTGTGAAAACTGACCATTTATTCTTACTCTTTGTTTTCTATATTTTAACCAGTTACTAGATCCATGAGAGGACCTTCCCTCTTATCGCTTGACTGTTCACTTTGCTTAAGAACCTTTGATGAGGGATGTTGTCAAAAGCTTTCTGAAAGTCCAGGTACACAATATCAACTAGATCACCCTTATTCACATGCTTGTTGACCACCTCAAAGAATTCTAATAGATTGGTGAGGCATGATTTCCCTTTACAAAAGGTGTGTTGACTCTACTGTGTTCATCTATGCATCTGATCATTCTGTTCTTTATTATAGTTTCAACCAATTTCCCTGGTACTAAAGTTAGGCTTACTGGCCTGTAGTTGCCAGGATCACCTCTGGAGCCTTTTTTAAAAAAAATCAGCATTAGATATCCTACAGTCATCAGTATAGTGGCTGATTTAAGGGATAGGTTAAATACAACAGTCAGTAGTTTTGCAATTTCATATTTGAATTCCTTCAGAACTCTTGAGTGAATGCTGTCTGGTCCTAGTGACTTCTTAGTATTGAATTTATCAATGTGTTTCAAAACCTCCTCTATTAACATCTAAATCTGGGACAATTCCTCAGATTTGTCACCTACAAAGAATGGCTCAGGTGTGGCAATCTCCTTCACATCCTCTGCAGTTAAGACCAATGCAAAGAATTCATATAGCTTTTCTGCAACGGTCTTGCCTTCTCTGAGTGCTCCTTTAGAACCTCAATCGTTCAATGGCCCCACTGACAGGGGGGCTTCCTGCTTCTGATGTACTTAAAAAAATTTTTGCTGTTAGTTTTTCTGTCTTTTGCTAGTTGCTCTTCAAATTCTTTTTTGGCCTGCCTAATTATACGTTTACACTTGACTTGCCGGAGTATATGTTCTATTCTATTTTCCTCAGTAGGATTTGACTTTCAATTTTTGAATGCTTGCAGGCATTTCACTCGTGACTGTTCCTTTTAATTTCTGTTTAACTAGCTTCCTCATTTTTGTGTAGTTCCCATTTCTGAAGTTAAATGCTACTGTGGTGGGTTTCATTGATATTTTTCCTCCAAAAGGATGTTAAATTTAATCACATTATGGTCGCTTTTACCACATGGTTCAGCTATATTCACGTCTTGGACCAGAGCCTGTGCTCAACTTAGGCCTAATCAAGAACTGCCTCTCCCCTTATGGGTTCCAGGACTGGCTGCTCCAAGGAGCAGTCATTAATGGTGTCTAGACATTTTATCTCTGTGTCATATCCTGAGGTGACATGTCCCCAATCAATATAGGGACAGTTGAAATCCCTCATTATTATTGAGTTTTCTGTTTTTGTAACCTGTCTAATCTCCCTGAGTATTTCACAGTCACCATCACCATCCTGGTCAGGTGGTCAGTAGTTCATTCCTACTGCTATACTCCTATTTTTCAAGTGTGGAATTTCGATCCATGGAGATTCCATGTCACAGTTTGAGTCATTTAAGACTTTTACTATATTTGACTCTACGCTGTTTTTCGCACATAATGCCACCTCCCCTCTCCTCCCCCAGCACAACCTGCTCAGTCATTGCTATATATTTTGTATGTGTATTACTGTGTCCCATTGCTTTTCATAGTTCTAGCAAGTTTCTGTGATGCCTATCATATAAATATCCTCATTTAATATCAGGCACTCAAGTTCACCCATCTTAGTATTTAGACTTCTTGCATTTGTATACAAGCACTGATAAAATTTTTAAGTATTTAGTTGTCTGCCTTCATGTGATGTAATTGAACAGGAATCTTTTTTGTTAGACTGTTTCTCTTCATTTCCTGACTGTACTTTATCAACTTCTAGCCTCTCCTCTTTACTAGGCTATGGAGTATCCCCAAGGGACGTCTCTGTCTGAACTGTGTGCTCCTCTGCACCTGTCGACTCCCCCCCAGCCTTAGTTTAAAAACTCCTTTATAACCTTTTTAAGTTTACATGCCAGCAATCTGGTTCCATTTTGGTTTAGCTGGAGCCCATCCTTCCTGTACAGGCTCCTCCTTTCCCCAAAGGTTCCCCAGTTCCTAATAAACCTAAATCCCTTCTCCAAACATCATCCTCTTATCCATGCATTGATACCCTGCAGTTCTGCCTGTCTAACTGGCCCTGCGCGTGGAATTGGAAACATTTCAGAGAAGGCTACCATGGAGGTCCTGGACTTAAATCTCTTACCAAGCAGCCTAAATTTGGCCTCCAGGACCTCTTTCTCCTACCTTTCCCGATGTCATTGCACATGCACTTTGGTTCTCAGAACCATGGCGACGGCATAAACATCTCAATAGACAGCAAAAATGTCGGGTGGTTTGTATCCATTGCTATATTCTGCATCTATGGCACGTCTATAGTGCCCTGCAGTTCAGATTATGGGGGCGTGACAGCAGCACTCACCAAAGTGCTGCACTGTAAATCCCCCTTGTGGAATTGAACTAAATGTTAAACTAAATGAACTAAAATGTTCCTAGTTTGCATTAACGTAGTCCTCTTCAAACAGCGCTACATTAATGCAACGTAGGAACCTACGTTGCGGGGGGGATAGCTCAGTGGTTTGAGCATTGGCCTGCTAAACCCAGTGTTGTGAGTTCAATCCTTGAGGGGGCCATTTAGGGATCTGGGGCAAAAATTGGGGACTGGTCCTGCTTTGAGCAGGGGGTTGGACTAGATGACCTCCTGAGGTCCCTTCCAACCCAGATACTCTATGATTCTATGAAGCTTGTGTTCATGCCTGCAGCATCCACACATGGGAGTCATCGTGCAGCACTTTGGTGTGCACTGCTATTCACACCCCCGTAATCCAAACTGCCGGACATTTCCCTAAAAATACAGTATTGACAGAGGCCACTAACTTTCTCAACTTAAATAATATGTCACTTACCATTTTAAACAGAAAAACACAATATTTCTACAAAGTCCATGCAGGGAGACTATCAATGTGCTTACTTTAGTTGGGTAGTTATGATGAGAGGAATGCTTGTAACAGAATTTAACAAAAGCTGAGACATCTATGAAAAACAAGTGTGTATGAGCAGTAGGGGAAAATCATGTGTGAGAGAGAACAAACTCTGAACATGATATGTACAGTATTAAGGAAACCTTATTGAAGTGAATGCATAATAGCCATGATGCAAAACAGATAAAGTCTAGCATGTGCCCTGTAAACCACAGAAGCTCTGGTAACTCCCTAAAGGTTTTAGCTAAAAGATTAGTGATCCTATAAACTTTTCATCACCAGGGGCCAATGTGACTTGGAGACCCTCCAGCACTGTAGGCTATTTGTCGAATAACTCGATCAGTAACAGCTCAGTTTTAGTGCAAATGAATTTTAAGTAGAGTTACCTTCTGTCTGCCTGTAGAATGTAGAGTCACTGCCACAAATGCTTCCTTCATTTTCTACGCTTCCTTCAAAAAAGCTTCCTTCTACTCAAGAAGACAGCACAACACATATTGTATAGAAATATTCAGTATATTATTAGGTTAAAGTACTCTTACAAAAAGTAGTGGTCTTTCTCACCACTATAGAGGAGTAGTCTGAAAATTACTGTTTGAATTTCAGCTGCTATACAAAAACGTTATTTCTTTTATATGAAAGATTTCTCAAATGGGGCTTGTAAATTACGGATGGAGAAAACTGCTGGAGAGAGAGAGAGAGAGAGAGAGAGAGGGAGGAAGAAGTTGCTTAAATGCAGAACTTGTCAAATGAAAGCTAGTGCAGTGAACTTGCTTTTAACATGACATTTTGGGCTTGAAACAGATCCTGGATTTTAAAGGCCACTACAGTATAAATAAAACAAACTGAGACATTTAAACCTCTATTTATCTTCAAATGAAACAAGAGGGTTATCTTACCGTCACACTGAAAATAGAAAAAGAAAGTTAGCAATGACATTTAGATGCTGAGGCCTTCTTCAGAAAGGTCTCCTATATCCTGCACATCCTCACTTACGTATCCTGCATGTTATTACTCATGTGAGCAGTCTCGTTTAAAGGCATAATTCAACGAGACTACTTTTGAGAATAAGGAATGCCTCGGTGCATAAGGTTTTGCAGGATCGGTATCTTGACTTTTTTTATTTTCTGCATATATTTAAATTAATTGTTTTGTTCCATTTGCATCTCACCCACTAAATGTAGCATCCCCACCTTTATTTTTTCATTTCCATTTTTGAAGGTTTTTTTTTTTAATTTGATAAGAAAAAAAAGTAACCTATTGAAATGGAATCTTTTAGGCCTGCATTCTCCTGTTCTACCTACAGGCTTGCCATGTACTGCTAAGTAGTATTAAAAGAGCCACTTAGAGTTGCCTTCATCCAGGTGCACACAGCCTTGCTATTAATTTTTGTCTTCCAAGTGCTTATCTTATCTTCAGGAAAGAATGAAAGAAAGACTTTATAGAAAACATAAACCCTGTAGAAAACACAAACTCTGTACAGATTTCAATCGAATTACACTAGGGATGAATTTGGCCCAGCGGAGGCAAATCATCTCAGAAAGATTCGACTGGTTCTGGTTCTGCTTCTGAATCATTTGCTATTCAATTACAAAAAATGTGCCAGCATGACAGCAAGAAAGCACTGTCCCCAGACTCACAGAATACCTTCAATTACTAGTTTTATGGGGGGATGCATCTCTCTCCATAGTTAGGAAAGAATTACAGCTCATTGTAGAAGGCTGACATTGATATTAAATTGATCACATTTCTTCCCCAGTTACTTGAGAAACTTAAAATGTACGTCGCAGCTGCAATTCACCTAGGGCCAAATTCTATGGCAAACAGGCAAAACTCCAATTGTGATATGGACTGCAAGATTCGGCCTTCATTAGTCAAATTTTGCATTAAGTGCAATGGAAAACCTCAGCTCCAAAATTCTGTTCTCATTCATTATCTACACGGAACTTTCGGAGCCCTAACTCATGGAGAGCAGAAACAGAGCTGAGATTTGCTTTGTAGATCTGAGAGCAGAATTCTGCCTTATAGATTATCTAAACTTTGACTAGTTAAATAGCTCAAACCTAGCCCAACTCTCTAGATATTTAACTCCTTATAGTCCCCTGCTGTAATTCTTCTGAAAAATTTTAATTTTCCTTCCCCCCCAAAAAAACCTTTCAGAACTCTGATTGGGTCCATCATGTGAGTTAATGTGGATGAGTCTATAAGAAATTAAAACTGTACTGTACCTATTATTTCAGAACAAACGCCGCTCTCCAGTCTATGTTTTCTGTATAAATTCTTCAGGACTTTGGCACTACCAAAACGCTTGAAGCGACTTTTCACATTATTGTAATACCATTCCAGGGACTGGGTCCTCAGGAGTCTAAAGAGGATAAATGAGTAACATTTCAGAATGCTTAAAATGAGTCTACATCAGATGAAAACAAATGACGCTCCCTGGTCTTTCCTAAATATTATATCTACTGGGCTCTTTTAAATCAAAAGCCTTATAGCATAATATTTTTGGTTTTGAACACTGTTTCTTGGTTTTAGCTTGAACAAGTCTGGTTTTATGGCAAAATAAGTACTGGAAATGTAGCTAAAAGTCATTCTGATTACAGTAGTAAGTTGCTTGGTTACCGTATCAAAATAGCAAATTATATGTTTTAACAAATGTACTGAATACATTTTGAAAGGCCATCTACAGTATTATAGAACAACATATGAGGCAATGGTTATAAAGCGTATTTACATGGATTTATAAATAACCCACCATGGAAAGAATAGTTAGTCAAGACATTACAGGGCATGGAGAGCTCTCTTTTCCTCTTCAAGATTTTTTTAAAATTAATTTTTCATAAACATACATCACTACACAAACATTTACAGAAAAGAGCTCATTGGACAAGGTCTGTACAAAGAATCATGGCAAACAAAGAAGAATGGGTGGAAAACTTTATTGGGAAACATTCAAAGTTGCAGCTTGGTCTGAAGTCTCTAACTCCAATAAATAAATAAATAGTGAAAGTGCTATCATACTGGAATGTGTAAGAGTAAGAACTGTGAGGCCAACAAGCCAAAAGACACTGTAAAGTTCACATCTTTGCCCCAAAATCAACATGGAAACTGGATTTAGCATCTGTGCTCTGAATGGAAAAAAATATCCACTTTGACTAGATTGTTCCAAAGCCCATTGAACGGAAAGACTCCCAGAGACTTCAGTGGGCTTTGGATCAGGTCCCAAAAGACCAAGAAGATGATGCAAGCCATTATCAGCCCCTTTTATGATCATATTTTATTATAGGACCACAAGCTAATGGGTCCTTGCTTGGCACCCCTGTCACATGTGTAAGCAAGGGTGCAGGGCTAGCAGCAGAAAGTCTGCTCAGAGGGTGATTGTGGGTAGCCCATAGCTGACCGGCACAGTCCCAAAAACGGGTATCATGTGGAAAGAACTCTACAAATCCCCAGCTGTAACTTAAAACTGACCTCCACCAGCAGTAGCCCCAGGAAAGAAAAGCAGGGTTTGCACCAGTGGGTCTGAATCAACTCCCATGTGTTTTTTTCACAAATTGATCTGACTTATTTGGTTGTGTACTGTCACATTAGTTTATTTTATTTTATGCCACACCTACGTACATCAAGTCAGATCACATGTAGCAAAGTGACTGGTATATTCTGATGTGACAAAGTTTTGCATGGCTACAAATGTGACAGTTCCTCCCCTCCCCTTTAATAATGTTTTTCGGTTACTAAAGTGGGAGGGCCAAATCCCATACAAAGTAGGAGACGAGGAGTTTACACTCTAGAACTTTGTATGTAATTGAGGCAATTTGTTGCTTCCCAAGACTTTGAAACTTGGAAGCCCAAAGTTAGCCTTCTAAGACTAACTTAGGTACCTAAATAAGTGGCCTGATTATCAGAAGTGCTGGGCACCCAGCAACGCCAACTGACTTAAGCCATGATTTTCAAAAATGGAATCAAGGGGAGAAATTTTTTAACTGGCTACTAGATTCAAATGGGGTAATTCACTCCTGACACAACTCTAGTCAGCTTGTATAGTATTAATCACTTGGAATTTCTGTGGGATTCCTCTCAGGCACCAAAATAAAAACACACTAAGAAAAAGTGGTGATCTCAAAAGAATGTAATCGTAAGACCTGTTTTCTTCAGCGTGTCTGGGTTTCCTTTGCATGTATGAGGCAAATGACAATCGACAATTTTTCTCCAACACAAGTCATTTGACAAGAAATTGTGTTTTCCTTTGAGGGTACTAACTGTATGGTTTTGCCAGTTATATCCTTTTGGTCAATTATCTCCACAGATTCTATGCTATGACCAAGCCCACCATACAATATATGACCCAAGAATTTCACTAAATGTTCCCATCAGTCTCAAGTGTTCAGGGAGATGCCTACAATGATAAATGGAATAGCACCAAACAGGTCTATTTATATTCTAGTCCACTTATACCTCATCACTGAAAAACATCTGGTAGAGTATACCTATAACCTCCTAATGGCAGAGTGGAAACTAAATAAAAGTGGTGAAGTTTGTTCGCTGAATTCTTGCACATTAAAGTTCAGCCATAGACTAATTATATTAGTTGCAGTGCTGCAAATAACAAGAGAATGCAGGTAAGTGGCCTTTTTCTGTGTGTCTCGGCTTCAACTTCAAGATTCAAGGCAGCAGCTTTCTCTTACTACGTGTTTGCACAGTGCCTGGCACAATGATGCCCCAAGCCTGAATGGAGTCTCTGAGAGCTATTGTAATACAGATACTCTGTTAGTATACAAATAATAGTAAGACTGAAATATGCCCTGACAGAGTTGGCCAAAAATCTGTTTTCTGTATGACGTCCTCACAGATCACCTTGGTATGGCACATGATCTACAACAGATGAGATATATGGGGCCAATGTCAAAGTGGCAGCCACTTGCCCAAATCTGTTTGATTGTGAAATAGAGGGCTTTTGAGTCTCTACTCTGTGGCTGCCAAGAAAGCATTTTGTTCAAATGTAGGATGTCTGTGAAGTCCTGATTAGCAGAACTGTGCTTGGCAGTGGGCAACCTGGTAAATCCATGAATTCAGGCAACCTTTACTCAAAAACAACTTTCAGTATTTCTTCCCGCTGTGAGAGTTTCTTCTACGTTATGGATCAATAGCATGAAAAGTGCACTGTTGCATCCATGGTATTAGAATTGTGTCAGAAAGGGGAAAATGCTACATCTTCTCTTGCTGAGTTTCATTCAGATTTGTCCACTAATGTTCTGAAGTGTTGGAAGGTTTCGCCTTCAACCTCTGACATGTACACGTGATCTTCATGATGGGTAAAATCGAGTTCATGTATAGGGGAGAGGAGAGAGGGTGGGATGCCCATTATTAGTTGGGATTGCTCCTAGCTTAGGACAGCATTCAAATGTTTGCTTCCCTTATATGAGCAGTTATTAAATTAATATGCAAGATACCATGCCTTCAAGTTGACAATCTTCCCAACTACCGCTCTGTTTCTAAGCTTTCCTTTATGGAAAAAGTGATTGAAAAGCTTGCGACAAAATTACTTTTGTACCATCTGGACTGATTTCCTGGACCCTTTTCAATGCACCTTTCAACTGAAGTATAGCATGGAAAATGAATTAGTAGCATTAGACAGATGATGATCTATCCGTGAGCAGAAGTCAGCCATCCACTCTGACTTTTTTTTCTTTTACATCTGTCAGCAGCCATAAATACCACTGACCACAACAACAGCGACTTGCCTGCAGCCATTGACTGGACTGGACGAGACTGCACTTGAATGGTTCCACTTTTTCCTCTCCAAGATTGTACGCACACTAGGGATTGTGAGAAGGGCAGGTGTGATAGAGCTTGGTGGGAAATGGTTTTCCCATTTCATGAACATTTTTGTGATTTAAAAAAATATCCCACTCTGCATCAGAACTTGAGATCTTTAAAAAAAATTGATGAAAACATTCAGAGTGACAGAGAAAGAGAGAGCTCTGCCCCAGAATAGCCAGTAGACTGGAGGTCAGGATACTTGACTAGGATGTGGGAGATTCAGGTTCAAGTTCCTGGTTTGAATAAGGCAGGGGTTCAAATCCCTGATCTACCTGTTTCAGATCAGGGACTAGATCCAGGTGAGTTCCCTGACCACCAAGCTATTCTGGGATGAAGCTCTCTCCTCCTCCCTCCTACCCCCCAAAATTCCATGCTGGACCTGAGAAACCTTTGAAAATTTGAAAATTCCTCAGTTCTGGGGGTTGAAAATTTGTAAGAAACCTTATAATCTCCCTTTTGTGATAGTGAGCCATAACAACTCCAAATCTATGCTTCTATTCTGCATGCATTCTATAACAAATTGCAATGACTCTTCTAAAGCTTTTCAGCCTCTTAACATTCAGATAAGTCACCATGTCCCTGCTGATTTCTACTGTGGAGAAAGGATTTGGAGAAGAGAATAGCCATCCCTATGGATACCAAAATAAAGGACTTATTCACAAAAGAAATATGGACTCTTTCTGCTCATTTCAAAATCCTTTAATGTTGGCCTGTATTTTAAAGCCATGACTCTTCTACATACTGCAAAAACAGCTTTTCTATGTGCCTAGAATTATGAAAAGCTACATCATAGCAACCACCAAATCTTACACTGAAGCACTTTCCCCCTTTTATCTATATTGAAGAGTGTGCAAATTCTTTCCATGAAATTAAAGTTCATATTTAAAGACTATTAGCCATATACCCATAAAAGCAGCAGCACTGGCTGAAGTTATTTATTTGTATTTCTGTGCTACAAAGTCAGCTATGTCTGTATATGTAAACAACTCTAAAATCCAAGGCCATTATTTAGGTTACATAAAATCATTAGGAAGGTGAATCACATTTCAAAGCCTTTTTTTATGGAAACAACATTGTGGGTTTGGAATCAGTACTACTACAATATGTGAAAAATTATTAGTCAACTTCTGTTCAATAAAGAAAAGCTTGACAGAGTATGAGAGATTTATTTTTGTAAGCGTGTGAGAGAATGAGGCACTAATAAAATAACAGACTCAGAGCAGTGGATAAACCTGGACATATTGTGAACAGGTCCTGTCAATGCTTTCTCACAGCACTGTTAATACTCCCCAATCCTGGCCTGCAATACCCACCTACTCCATTCCAGGCGCTCTCCTGAGAAGGAACACCTGCAAATTGTGCTGTGTGACTGTGATATGAACAAGAATTCCCTAGGGATGAGATCTCCTAACACATTTTTATTTATGATCATAGGACGAACATTTGAAAGACTTCACTCAAACTTTTCTACAAGCAGTCAAAAAATCCATTACACAACAAGTAAAGGATAAACAAAGCAATTTATCATTTAAAATTCATAGTTTT